GCGTTTCAAGAAAATTTGACTTAAAAGAGAAAAGTGAGTCAGCGTCATTCAAATCCAATCTCACCGAGGATCCGTCTGCGTCTGTCCCGACCGGAAAAGTTTGGCCTTTTTTAAACCAGGACTAAACCAGGACTAAACCAGAACTAAACCAGGACTAAACCAGGACTAAACCAGAACTAAACCAGGACTAAACCAGGACTAAACCAGGACTAAACCAGACTAAACCCAGAACTAACTAAACCAGACTAAAGGACAGACTACTAAACCAGGACTAAACCAGGACTAAACCAGGACTAAACCAGAACTAAACCAGGACTAAACCAGGACTAAACCAGAACTAAACCAGAACTAAACCAGAACTAAACCAGGACTAAACCAGGAAACCAGGAACTAAACCAGACTAAACCAGGACTAAACCCGACTAACTAAACCAGGACTAAACCAGGATAAACCAGGACTAAACCAGGAACTAAACCAGAACTAAACCAGGACTAAACTAAACCAGGACTAAACCAGACTAAACCAACTAAACCAGGATAAACCAGGACTAAACCAGGACTAAACCAGGACTAAACCAGGACTAAACCAGAACTAAACCAGGACTAAATCAGGACTAAACCAGGACTAAACCAGGACTAAACCAGAACTAAAACCAGGACTAAACCAGGACTAAACCAGACTAAACCAGAAACTAAACCAGGACTAAACCAGGACTAAACCAGAACTAAACCAGGACTAAATCAGGACTAAACCAGGACTAAACCAGGACTAAACCAGGACTAAACCAGGACTAAACCAGGACTAAACCAGGACTAAACTAGGACTAAACCAAACCAGGACTAAACCAGGACTAAACCAAAACCAGGACTAAACCAGGACTAAACCAGGACTAAACCAGGACTAAACCAGGACTAAACCAGGACTAAACCAGGACTAAACCAGGACTAAACCAGGACTAAATCAGGACTAAACCAGGACTAAACTAAAACCAGGAACTAAACAGGATAAACCAGGACTAAACCAGAACTAAACCAGGACTAAACCAGAACTAAACCAGAACTAAACTAAACTAAACCAGGACTAAACCAGGACTAAACCAGAAAACTAAAACCAGGACTAAACTAAACCAGAAAACCAGGACTAAACCAGAACTAAACCAGGACTAAACCAGAACTAAACCAGACTAACTAAACCAGAACCAGGACTAAACCAGGGACTAAACCAGACTAAACCAGACTAAACCAGAAGACTAAACCTAGGACTAAACCAGAACTAAACCAGGACTAAACCTAAACTAGAAACTAAACCTAGGACATAAACCAGGACTAAACCAGGACTAAACAGGACTAAACCAGGACTAAATAAACCAGGACTAAACCAGGACTAAACCAGGACTAAATCATAAACCAGAACTAAACCAGAACAAATCAGGACTAAACCAGGACTAAACTAAAACTAAACTAAACTAAACCAGGACTAAACCAGGACTAAACTAAAACAGAACTAAACTAGGAACAGGACTAAACCAGGACTAAACCAGGATAACTAAACTAAACCAGAACTAAACCAGGACTAAACCAGGACTAAACTAAACCAGGGACTAAACCAGGACTAAACCAGGACTAAACCAGGTCTAAACCAGGTCTGAACCAGGTTTTGGTCTTAAATGTTATATATACACATTTTTATTTGATTTATTTTATAAACCACAACTGCAGGTGTTTTTTTGAGGAGGAAACATTATTGTGACATTTTGATCAGAACCAGTGAACTTGTGTTTGTTAAACTCGTCTGTTCACGTGTGTTTTAGTGGTGACGTCGCCATCTAGTGTCTGACAAACAAACAGCATCTAAAACATTCAAACTTCAACTCGTTTTTACTTTAACTTTTACTGATAAATGTCGCGCAGCTTCACAGAGTCTCGCAGGAGTCAGGAGTAACAGATTACATGTACCAGAGTAATCAGAGTACAAATGAAGAGTAACTGTATTCAGTTACAGTTACTGTTTCAGTGAGTGGGAATTGGATTACAGTTACTTTGTTGAAATAAATGGATTATACAGAGGGATTTTACTGTTTTCACATTTTGGGCTAAACCAGGACTAAACCAGGACTAAACCAGGTCTAAACCAGGACTAAACCAGGACTAAACTAGGATTAAACTAAACCAGGACTAAACTAAACTAAACTAGGACTAAACTAGAACTAAACTTGGACTAAACCAGAACTAAACTTGACTAAACCAGCTAAACTAGGAACTAGGACTAAACTAGGTCTAAACCAAACTAAAAACTAAAATAAACTAAACTAGGACTAAACTAGAACTAAACAGGACTAAACCAGGACTAAACTAAACCAGGACTAAACCAGGACTAAACCAGGACTAAACCAGGTCTAAACCAGGTCTGGAGGTGACCTTGGTCCGGTATTTGAGACTTTTATTAAAACGTGAGAGAGAAGAGGGACAGACACAAGATCCGGACTCCACTTTTTTTTTTCTTTTTTTACACAAAACACAAAAGCAACATGAACATAAAACGACACCGTGAGCTAAAAAACAAAAATAGAACTGAATGAATGAATCGTACGTGAGATTAAAACCAATTCATTTTTCAAAATAAAACTAAAAATAAGAAAATGAAAAAAAAAAAAAAAAAAAATTCTTCATTATTTGTCTCCAAAACCAAAATAAAAAAACAGATAATGATTTGTTTTCAGTTTTTAATTTCAATGGAATTTACTGTTTAACTTAAACTGATGTCGGACTAAACCAGGTCTAAACCAGGTCTAAACCAGGACTAAACCAGGACTAAACCAGGACCGGGACCGGGAATGAAACCAGGGAGACTGAGACCGGTTTAGTCCTGGTTAGTCCTGGTTTAGACCTGGTCAGGTTTAGACCTGGTTTAGTCCTGGACCTTAGACCTTTGTTGTTCTAATCTTCTGTGTCCAGATCTTTTCCGCTTCTTCTTTTCAACTTTAAAATAATTTACAAAACACAAACAAAAACTTTATGAAGAAAAACATCGTTTATTAAGAAAGATTCAGGCTCAGTAAACTCGTTTTGAAGTGGTCGGGTTTAGAAGTTAAGGCAACGGTATTAAATAAAGCTCCACTACGTCACTTTTCTGGCGTCCGCCTCCTGTGAGTGGGCTCGCCTCTCCGTGGATCTGACCTGGAGCTCCGCCCACTGGCATCAGGCGCTGGAACATTTACCAAAAAAAGTTACACGTTTCACCTTTAAGCGTTTGTTATGATCCGTTTTAATTTGTTGGGTTTTTGGAGCTGTGTCTCTCTGTTCCACCTCGTGATGTCATCGTGTGGCGGTGCAGGAAGAGCTCCACCGTGTTTTTAAACTCCACGCACCTTTGCTGGAATCGTTGACCTGGTTTAGTCCTGGTTTAGTCCTGGTTTAGACCTGGTTTAGTCCTGGTTTGTCCTGGTTTAGTCCCTGGTTTAGTCCTGGTTTAGTCCTGGTTTAATCCTGGTTTTGTCATTTAGGTTTTAGTCCTGGTTTAGTCCTGATTTAGACTGGTTTAGACCTGGTTTAGACCTGGTTTAGACCTGGTTTAATCCTGGTTTAGTCCTGGTTTAGTCCTGGTTAGTCCTGGTTTAGACCTGGTTTAGTCCTGGTTTAGTCCTGGTTTAATGCTGGTTTAGTCCTGGTGACCTGATTTTAGTCCTGGTTAGTCCTGGTTTAGTCCTGTGTGATAAAAACTTCATGACATCACGAGGTGGAACAGAGCAGAATATTTGGAGTTTGACCAAATTATTCTCTGTAATATTCCCTTGTTTTGGTCTAATAGTTTTGTAAAAAGCCCTTTCAAGAAGAGGAGGAAGAGGAGGATGAAGAGGAGGAAGAGGAGGAAGAGGAGGTCGGGGGTGAAAAGTTCCTCCGCCGAGGCTTCGTCTGCTGGGGCCACAGTTTGTCTGAACACAGCGTCACATTTTGTTGAAACACTCCTTGGCGTTGGACCAGACCTGCACCCCCTGAAAACACAAGAACAACAACGGACAGAACTGTAACACGAGAGACAAACGAGA